AAAAAAACTTTAAAAAGTGAATTTTGCATAATAGGTCCCCTTTAAGTGTTTATAGTGTATTATTGTATATGCATTGTGTTAATACATGTATTATTTTATGTAAATGCCATGTACCTCAGTAGTACTTTTAATCTTGTTGGAATATAGTTAAACTTCAAAAAAAAAAAGAGTAATTAGATTAATAAGTAATGCTGGGTTTTTTGATTCCACAAACTCATTATTCTTAAAGTCTTCTGCTTTAAAATTTAGTGACATAGTGCATTTAAAAACACTGGAGTTACTATATCGAGAAAGAGTAAATAGTCTTCCTGATCGTATTCAAAGATTTTTTAAGTTATTGGAAAATAATTATAATTTAAGGGAGTTATTTATTTTTGAAATACATAAAGTGAGAACAAATATCAAATACAGATGTGTTTTAGTATTGGGTGTTAAACTGTGGAATAATTTAAATGATGAAATTAAGTTTAGTGACTCTCTTTTAAGTTTCAAAAAGAAGTAAAAAGTTAATTAATTATGAGTTATGGTTTATAGTAGTCAGTTGTGATAACGGTGGTGGTAATACATTACATATTTTTTTGCATGAACGGACAATAATATGATAATGTTGATTAAAAAAACTGTATTAATGATTTGTATACAACCAGGATGTAGTTGAAGTATATGTGTGTGTTTTTTTTGTGTGTATTTTGTTTTGGGGAATCCATTATGAATTGTAAGGTGAGGCTAAACAAGCCATTGGCTTCTGCCTCTACCTATTTGGTCATATAGGGTAAAAGTTTTGTTTGTTTTTGTGTGGAGAGTTCTTTAATGTGACCAAACAAAATCATTCATTTAATAAAAAAAATTATATATATATTGAAGCATGAGTGAGACTGAATGAGAATACTGGAAGTACAGCACATTAAAATGCATGCAGGAGCTAACTGGCACAGCTGGCATGCTGTTTTGCATGTTACACGTGTGTGGTTACGTGTGTGTTGTACCTGTTGAGCCTCTCCAACACAGAATCGTCTGCCAGGGAGATCTCATCCATGAGGAACACTCCTCCTTCCTTCATGGCCAGCACCAGTGGTCCATCATGCCACTCAAACAGCTTTACATCGTCACCATCAGTCTGTGCGCGCGCACACACACACACACACACACACACACA